GTGCTGTGTGGGTGATAAATTGGAGCCCCCCTTCCCTGTCTGACGTCAAAGCTTATGAAAATGTGTGAGAGGAGGGCGGATAGATGGATGGAGAGAAAGAGGGGGTGAATGAGTAGGAGGGAGTGAGAAGGGCGTCGCTTTGACTCAGAGAGACAGAGTAAAAATAAACCATGTGGGCAGTGAAAGGATGCAGCCGCTCTCTCTCTCTATCTTAATGAGCAAACACTAGTGCTTCAGTTCAGTGGAATGGCCAAAAAGGAGCTTTAATCAGTCTTTCTTTGTATTTTTTTGTGTTGTCTCTTTCAAGCGAAAATGCAAGTTCCTCATTTCATTGCGCTGTCAGTCATTCTGCAGTTACGCAGTCATTCCTCAGCATTGTTCTGCCTTCACATAATAATATGAGTTTTAATATAATGTTTTATTGCATTGCTGTGATGTATTATTAATGTCTGGCGAAGTATGGGGAGTTGTGATGTTCACATCAATAATAGCACAAGTAAAAATGCAATGGGAAACCCAATGATACAAATGCTCTCCCAGTTCCAAATTCTAGTCTCTTTTTGATAACTCTTTGAATTAATGAGCAGAACATATTTAGAGGAATAGTTCATCCAAAAAATTTGCTGAAAATGTACTCACCATCAGGCCATCCAAGATGTAGATGAGTTTGTTTTTTCATCAGATTTGGAGAAATGTAGCATTGCATCAGCAATGGATGCTCTGCAGTGAATGGGTGCCGTCAGAATGAGAGTCCAAACAGCTGATAAAAACGTCACAATAATCCACAAGTAATCCACACCACTCCAGTCCATCAGTTAACGGGTTGTGAAATGGAAAGTTCAAAACAAATCCATCATCAGGACAATTTAACTTTAAACCATTGTTTTTGGCCAAAATACGAGTCTATAATCCATAAGTATCTGGCCATAACTCGTCCATGTTCTTATTCACATCAAAATCCACCAACTTATTTGTTTAGGACAATTTTGGACTGTTTTCACTTGCAAACAGTGCTTGATATGTGTATATTTCTCTCCTGGGTCAGATGAGATTACTTTATTTTTTTTACTGCAGAAAGCAATAATATACTTAGAGGACTCGTATTCAGCCGGAATCAGCGGTTTGAAGTAAATATGTCTTAATGACGAATTTGTTTCTTACAAACATGCAGCTTTTCACTTCACAAGACATTGATTGCTGGACTGGAGTGGCGTGGATTACTTGAATTATTGTGATGTTTTTATCAGAACTCTCATTCTGACGGCACCCATTCACTGCAGAGGATCCATTGGTGAGCAAGTGCTGTAATGCTACATTTCTCAGAATCTGCTCAAATGAAAAGATTTTTAAGAAACAGGAAAATAAACAATAGACATTTGATACTGTAAAGTACCGTAATCGTGTTCCCGACACTCTTGATTATTAAAAAAAATAGTCATTCTAAAATTGTAATCAAAAAACAAACCTTGTTTATATTCTCATAGAGATGGAGGAGAAAGTGTCAGAGAGGAGAGGATCAAGTAACAGAAGCAGCAGTCCAGCAAACACCAAAGACGATCCATAACTCACAGTCTGCAAGTTTCCATGTTGAACTCAGGTTGGATATCATGCCTAAATGCAGCGTGGTGTTCGGTTCGCTATGTTGTAATATTGAAAGTTCTTTTGTCTTTGCAAATGAAATTTGAAGCACATACAGGTTAGTGCAAGCAACGAGTGTTACAAATACATTCCATGTTCTCTGTCAGGATACTTTGACTTACCAGTATGTCAGTAAAAAGCTTCAATGGTTTTAATTTTGTGTCAAGCAAATTCTAGAATGAAATCGCATCTGCATCCATTACCCAAACCTTAATTTATTAGGATAGATGACATGCTTCTCGTTCTAAGCGGAGCTGTGAGATAGTGGGATGTAGGTCTCATTCCATTTTCTCAGTTTTGATGAAGTTCTAACAAAAGTTTGGGGGGAGCATGTTTATTTAATCCAACCAATCACAGCGCTAGAATAAATATATATCAAACACTTTATTATGTACAGCGAGCAAAACACGTGTACATTTACAAGTTTTGGATTATATTAAAATGTGAAATCCTGAATTTGACTATATTAAGAACCCCGACACTAGGAACTTGCTGATGCCGTAAATATTAATATATGAACGCTAAATGCACATAGGAGATTTCACAGGTTACAAAATGTAAATGATTCAAATGAATCATGGGGGGGGGGGGGAATAGTATTCTCACTGTTTAAAGGTTGAATGGCTAATGAATTTGTAAGAATTGTGCGTTACAGCGCTAATGCTAGAAATATGTACGTGGCCTCTTCAATGACAGATTATTTATTTTTTAATTTCTCAATAAATTATATTGTAATGTTTCTCCTGTTTACTTCTCTAGATTGTTACTTTTATTTTGCTAACAGTGTAAAAATAGAAACTTGTGTATTACAACATGCAGAATATTGCTGATTTATTCTAACTTTTATTCATCCACTGCTTTTGTCTAAGATACTTACCGTATTATATGTGAAAATGTATAGAAAATTTTTATGTTTCTGTCTCATTTCTGACACACGGTTCCACCACCCACACTCACCCTAGTCATCTCAACAAACCAAGACAGATGATGCCTGTGATTCACTTGCCCTACCCTGCCATCAGCATCATCATCATCAATCTCACAGATGGGGAAGTGTTTGGGAAAACTGTCTATTGTTTCAGTTCTGTTTGGTGCCACTAGTGGCTAATTTACTCTTTAATCAGCTAATCAATAAATTGATTTCATTAGAGTAATATGCTTGTGAAGGCCTATAATTAAAGGGATAGACAACAATTAACCAAAGATCATGCCATTCTTTATTCTGTGAAACACAAAAGAGGATATTTTGCAGTGTTTTTTGTCTATATGAAATGAAAGTCAAAGGAGTCCAGTATTGTTTTGGACCCTTGTGACAAAAAAACATTCTTCGAAATATTCGTGTTTGGCAAAAAAAAAGAAAGAAGAGGAAATCATACTGGTTTGGAACGAAAGATTTCTGAGTGAACTATCCCTTTAGGCTAGCTTGTTCAAGAAACCGAAACAGATACACTGCAAGTGTTGTGTCTACAAAGAGGATGTGTACTAGAGTGCCTTGAAGGTTGTCTGTTTCAAGGCAAAAAAAACAGTCTTTTTGTAAATACTAAAAAGTAACATCAAGTAGGATGTAAACAAGACTAAAGAGATTTGGCCATGTCATGTAAACGTCTTAATCCGCCTTGCCTTAAACGGTTAGTTCACCCAAAAATTAAAATTAGGCTGTGCTTTACTCACCCCCGAGGCATCCTAGGTGTATTTTACTTTCTTCTTTCAGACAAATACAGTCAGAGTTATATAAAAAAAATTGCCCTGGATATTCCAAGCTCTATCACTGCAGTCAGTGGGTGTTGCAGTGCTTCAGTCCAAAAGACGTGAAATAAAAAGCACCCATCCATAAAAAAAGTGTCTCACACGGCTCCGGGGGGTGAACAAAGGCCTCCTGTAGCGAATCGATGCGTTTTTGTAAGAAAAATA